TATGGCTTGGGCTTGCTATGAAACAAAAATGGATATCTACACTTTCCTTGAAAATGGCACTTAGTAATTCTCTATTTTATAGAATTATAACAGTCACAAATGGCTGGAACAAACCAAAACTTTATAATTGATGTTTGATTTATACATGATATTTTCCATAGACATTTATGAAGGGAAGGAAGAGGGGTGGAGTAGCAGCGAATCATCACGATTACTGTACTGAACCGTGAAAAGTTTGGAGCAGACCTAACACTGATCTGCTTTTTATTTACCAGACAACCTTTACTCCAAATTTGTTGGAATAACAGGAAAAAAATCAAATCTGTTTTGCTACAGTGAAAATCAGACAATCTACAGCTCTTATATAAGTCTTGGAATCGTAACTTTTGTGGGGGTCATAAAATCATTTAAGAGTTTGATAAAAGCTATGGCTTCTAGTCATATGGTAAGATCCCCCTCCCCTGCCAAAAGAAAAAAAAATTAGTTGCTCTCTGTGTGTTTGCTTAATCGATTTCCACATTAATACAATGCTATTTTTATGACATGATTTTATACTAAATTTTAAAATCTTTTAAGGTCAGATCACCCTGTTTGTTTGCTCGCAGAACTAAGTTTGAACCCAGGGCCATCATACTGAGCTACATCCTCAGCCCTTTATTTTAGTTTTATTTTTCTTTTACTCTGAGACACGTTTCCCTAAATTTCTAGCTTGCCTAGATTGGGTTTAAACATGGAATCCTCCAGCCTAGGCCTTCTAGAGTGCTGGGATTGCAGATATATTCTGGCTCTTCCTATTTTTTTAAGGTTTGATTTAGTAAAAAGTTGATGACTTTTAAATAAATGTACCCAGTAGAATTTGAATAGTAATTTGGAAGAAACAAAGATACTTTTATATGCTAAGTGAAAGTATGGGTTATTAATCTCTACCAAAATATTAGAACATATCTAGAGTTAGAGAATCTTAAATAAACCATGCAAACTAGAGGTCAAAAGGAAAAGATAAACATATTTAGCTACATAAAAATTAAAATTTTTGTCTTGGTAATATCAGTTCTAAAGAGAATGAAAAGATGATGCTGTATGATGAAAATATTTATCATGGAAGACATGTAACAAATTTCACCAACATAGAAATTATTGAGAAACATAGCTCATTAGAAAATTGGGCAACAGAAAAGGAAATGTAGAGAATGACCAGGGAAGGATTAATAATTATATCATAATGATTCAAAATTTACTGTCAGGGTAGAGAATACAAATTCAAATAATGAGATAAAAGTTCAGATTGCCAGGATTTAAAGCCTGTAAAGCTGGTAACCATAAGAGATTACATTTATTAAGTGATTATTTTACCCTAAGAACTTTATGTAGATTAGCTCATGGGTCATGTGCTAAACACAACAATGCTGAGAAGTAGATTTCACAACTCAGCTAGCAAATGATAGAGCGAGGTTCAAGCCTGTGCAGTCTGATGGAGCCTGAACTGCTTCAGTATTGTCAGTGTGGACGAGGAAGCCGGGAGCTGGGGATTCCACTCTTCTAATGGCAGATGATTCCAGAAAACCTTACAGAATGTAATGGTATCAGAGGCTTCTGGTGTTTCCCTGGCAAGCGCAAGGGGCTGAGTTCAATCCCCGGTTCCAGAAAAAAAAAAAAAAAAAAAAAAAAAAAAGATGTAATCAGAGGCTTATTCCTTCTGTAACTGCAACTCCCTGCATGGTTAAGGCAAGATAGGAAGCCAGCCTGGGTCTCTTGGCGATACCTCACTCAGAATTTAAAAATAAATAAATAAAACAGGGCTGGGGCAATAGCTCAGTGTGAAGGCCTGGACTGCAATCCTGAGTACCACAAATAAGCAAGTCATTCCCTGACAGCCTGGTACAGCAGTGACCATCTGTAGTCTCAGCACTATGCGGGGCTGAGGCCGGAGGATCGCCTGAGCCCAGAAGGTACAGACCAGCCTGGGTTGCACAGCAAGACACTGTCTCAAAAATCAAAGCAAAGATGAAAAATAAGAAAATCTCATTTCTTTTGACCTGCCATCCTAGAAAAGAAGACAACCCACCAACGTCTTATCATTATCAATACTACTTAGAATTTTCTTGTAAAACAATCTGTGGCTGGAAATCTGAAAAAAAAAATGTGTATTCTTGTGTTGGAATTTAATTTTTTATAAGAGCTAAATTTTTATATTCTATTTCTTTGCTTCTTAAATTTATTTTCATAAATTACATTTGTCTCCCCTCCTTGGAAATTACCTGTGCCATTTACAGAGATTTGTGTCTCCATTCCCAGTTATGCTTTTCTATATGCCTAATGTTAGTACTGAAATTTAGAAGCTACTCCCTTCTTAGTTCTGATAAGGGTGTGGTTGTTCCCATATTTTAACATCAGAGTCCTCTCTTCACCCTTTATCACACCTGCTTAACTGAATCCATTGCTATGTACCATATGGGACCACAACTGACGTTTCACCCCATTGTCCAAGTCCTAGTTTATCAGAATAAAGCCAGTTAAGGTAATACTTTATTAAAATCTCAATACATGTTGTATCCTTTTTTATTTCTAATTCATGGATTTCTTTTTACTTTTGTCTCCAATGGTTTTGCTACATTTGATACCCTTTCACTTTCCACTTTTTATTCCCAAAATAAATTATCTATAGCTTTAGGCTTCTCACAATTTCTTGTTTCATTTGCCTGTTTGAACATGTTTGTATTGTTTTCAAGCCTAGATACCTTCTAATTTCTATTATGAGTTTTGTCAGGGCCATGAATCACTTTGAAGTATATAAAAATTTCTAAAGGTATTACTTAAAATTATGGTCATACTTTCTAAACTACTTGCATTGTGGTTAAATCAGTCTGAGTTCTGTGATATTTCTTGAGAATTTTATTAGGTTTCTACAAGTGACCCAGTTTTATAAATATTTTACATTACAAAATACTTGGGGGACACAGAACCCTATGTATGTCTAGTAGAACCATCTAATAGATCATTTCTAAAGGTAATATGTTAAAATCTCCCACTATGGTGATGAAATTATCATTTTGTGATATTTTAATTTAAAGCACTAGAATGCAAAGAGATATATATATACATATAATTATATATTACAAATGCATATGGATATAAACTACAACATAGTATCTTGACAGAAACCTGAAAATAACATTTCTAAATGTTCATTGATAGTTACTAGGCTGAATCATTGCAGGAAATAGTAGGTTACCACCACTGAGCATGTTGTTGTTTTGTACCTTCTAAACTAGAGGGAGGTCCATGTTAAGTGAAGAAGGCAAGTTGCAGTACGGTTATTGTGATTCCATTTTTAGTAAACAAAATAAGAACTCCTTCATTTATGAACATGTTTCAATACATCTCAGCTTGAAAACAAGACTGTTAACATCAGTTCTTCCAGGGGAGCAACTGGAAGGGGCACGAGAGGTAGCTATGAAGAATATTTTGTTTTACCTCCATTGCTAACCATATTTTATTATGGCAGCTTAAGGTCAGTTGAGTCTGACACTGATGTACTCATGTTAGAGGGTCTGACAGAAAGATGTGTCTTGTGAAAAAAACAACTTATGACTGTTACAGCTTCATTTCCTCACTACAGTGACATGTGCTGATTGATGTGAACAGAAGGACAGGCCTGGGAACACACTGAATACCAATCAGTATAGCTTTATCTAAAGTGAAGGGTTTTTTTTTCACCACTCTATGTGTATTTTTTAACATTCATTTTTCACAATTATATGTTGTGAACAAGAAAAGGGTTTTTTCAATAAGGTTAGAGGTTATAACTACAAAATAGTCATACATTTTCTCACAAAAAGCAGTAACCATAGCCTGGATACACAAGCACTAGCTCCTGCACCCAATTCTAGGCAGTCTGTAGACCTTCCAAGAAGCCCTTTGATGGATGGCCTTGGTTTTGCTCCACTAGATACAAGGCAAGTTTATGGCAGAAATATTGGCTGACCTGCCTATTTTTCCCTTATGTCCTCATAAGTAGAGGAAGTGGCTCCAGGGACAGTCTCGTCACTGAAAAACAGGAGGACTCTGTTATGACTTCAGCCTCATTTGGGCAGAAGGTAACTCTGTCTCTTCCTGCTGTTTCTGCCCACTGTGCACTCTCGTCTATGGAAGGTGTGAGGGGTGGGTGGCCTGCTGTCCTTGCACTTACAGCTCTGAGGACATTAACTCTCAAAAGGGGAGAAGACAGGGATATGGCAGTGTAGAAACCTCTCCACTGCTATAATGTCATCTTTGGTGGTGAGAGGAAAAATTTTCATAGTACAAACTCATCTGGCCTGGGTGTGCCCAAAAGAACCAAGCTCCAGAGAACTGAGAGCAGTAACTGGGATTGCAGGCACTAATCCTCATTTGAATCATCCTGAAGGCAAACTGAGGAATTACTTAAAGGGCTCAAGTTGGGAAGTAATGTGATTTGAGTGTTTTGGTATTAGTTTTGTTCTAGGCCAAAGAATTGGGGGAAAACAAGACAGGCAGTTGACACAGTACTTAGGAAGCTCCTGCAGTAAATTCTCAGTAGGATAAAGTCTCCAGGGCAGTGGGCAGAAGCAGCAAAAGTAGAATCAGTCTACGGTTTTAGAGAAAGATGTTCTAGAGGAAAACTAACACTTAGGCTTATTTAATTGGGGGTGGGAAGGCCTAAGAGGCTCCAGTTCGATTTCTAGTTTTGTGCCTTATCTTACTGGAAGGATGGCGCCACAGTAAGGTGGGAAAGGTGGGAAGAGGCACTAGGGTATTTGGAGGGGATGAACCTGGCAGACAGTAGACAGAATTCCTTTTTTTTTCTTTGACTCTAGGAAGCCGACAGAAGGCCCAGGAGTGCAGCCCAAGCTGCTCCAACAACTCTCCCCTCATCGTCAGCACCGTTGAAGCAGGCAATGTAAGTAGGAGCGAAAGTGTGAGTCAGACAAAACACTTATCAGCTGAAAGAAGAATTTAATAATGACCAAACAAGACACATATTCATAATTGATATATATCTTTTTATTATGCACAGATAAAGGACTTAAAACTGTGGTTATCAAGACTACACAGCTAAGCATGTTGACAAATTTGCTGACACACCAAACAAAGATTACAACAGGGGTGTTCAAACTGGCCACAGGGATTTTTGGGTTACTCTCTCTACCCTCACAGGTGGTGAAAAAACAGCAACAAAATCAGGCTCATTCAGTAAAAACCAGAAGAGAGAAGAATTGCATTTAGAAACTCATAATAGTCCTTTTTAGGAAAATATCCGTCGGTTTCATGAACAACCCCAGATAAAACAAACAGGAAAAAAAGCCACACATAAGACTCGCCCAACAAAAATGTGTGTTGTTAACACAACCAGCAGTGAGCAGTCATCATTCAAGCCATGAGGTAGTTACAGTCCCAAAAGACTGGTAGGCACACACACGCCCCACACACACTCGCAGTCACGCCTGCCGAGAACACGCAGGAAATGGATTTACAGTCTCACTATCACACCAGGAAAAGACCATTTTGTGTTTAGGAAAGCTACAAAAACAGCTTACTCCAAAGAAATTGGCATTTTAAAATACAGAGTTAACAGCTGGCAAACCCCGCACAGTGGAAAGCTAAAGGTGTTATACAGACAGTCTGCGGTGAAGTTTAAAACATTTCAGCAATAGCTTCAGTATCAACAAACAAAAACCAAAACAGGCTTTGTGGATTATGGGTGTACTATGGAAATAATATGGGGCTTTGCTGATAGAAGGGAGTTCAACTGGAATATAACGATGGTTTTAAAGAAACTTGCAGAACATGTTATAAAAGTAGAGCTTGTACTTTGTACTAAAACTGTGAAGGATGAAGCAACCAGAAATGCTGCAACAAGAAGCTAGGGAGAAATGCCCTATTTTTAAAAAATACTTCAAGAAATTCACTCTCCAATATGGGGTTTGGCTTTGTTAATATGAATTTCTCTATCTGAATAGTACTTCTGACAATGAGACCCAAACAAATAAAAGTGGATTGTTTTTCCTCTCTTTTAAAAATCTTTTGGCTTGCATCTATAAATTTGTAAATTAATTTAAGATTATTTATTAAATCATTGGCACTGTAGAAACTCTCTCAAAAATATACATTTAAATATATTACAGAAGTTTTTAACCCTACCCATCTAAGAAACACATCTTTTAATATTTCCTTGTAGCTAATCTAATTTTCCTTTTAAAAGATGGAAAGGTGGTTTATTTTTGAAAGCAAAGAACGGATCGAAGAATTCACAGTAACTGAAATTAAACATTTCATATGAGTAACTTAAATTTATCTAAAACACTTAAATATATCTTTATACACAAATTTTTGTAGTAAAATATAGCTATAAGTGACTTAAAGACTCTAGTCTTCTTTGAAGACATCTTTAAACTTTTTTATACATAGAATATGCTAAAACAATACATTCTGCTGAAGGTTAGGCAAAGCGCATTATTTTCAAACACAGGTAGCGTAACCTGGGCCCTCTGTTATGATACCCTTATGTTAAAAAATTAAAGGAAAACATTTCCTTGTCTCATGTTGTCCTCATACGTATATGAAAATCTAAAAACAATGTTCAATGTATCAATGTAGACAGCCTGGAAATCTCAGCTGCTAAGTAGTCTGCTTTGGTTAAAATTATCCCATCTGAATATCTACATCCATCCCGTCGATGGTTCTTGGTGCTGGATCATAGTGATTGTCTCTAGCTACCTGTTTGCCTTGTGGGCACTGCTTTAAGGTTCTGAGTTTCATCAACATGGAAGGCTCTATTCACAGAGGGCCAGGCATAACTGCTATATTTTAAAGGCAGTGGAATTTGGTTATGAGTATTTTAGGATAGAATATAACTTGTTCTATTTATGGAATGCTACGTTGTTGGGGGAGGATTATGGAAGAAGAATTGTATGTAATTTGTCATGTCAGTAGTAAATGATTTGGCATGGAAATTCCCTTCTGGTATTCTTTTTTAACATACAGGTATCACTGAGCAGATCTGAGCTGCAATGTGGCATCATATTATTCTATTTAATAAAATTCACTTTAAATCCTTTTGAGTCTGGATGTATTTTAACAAAAGCAAACCAAATGAGTACACTTTTCCCCTGCTCAGCAGCGCCCTCACAGAACTGGTGACATACTCAGATAACCCACAAGAATCTAACAGGCATTCACATTTCTTAAAGGGTTTGCTTTTCATTCGAGGGCTTATTAGAAAGGTTGATGTGTATTGAAAGAAAATGCTCATTCTACCAAATATTACTTAAGAATCAGTTCCAACTCTGGAAGCAGCAGACATTATCAGAATGTAAATGGATTTTTTTCATCTGTTTTTTTAAGATAGGGTCATGCTAGGGGAGCTGGTAAACCTTCCACCTTGGTATTATGGGCAAGTGTCACTGCACCTATTTCAGCTTCTTCAACTAAGGAAATGAATGTTCCAGGTGACAGTGACATACTGTACACTTGTACTCATATACATATATCACTTCGCAAATTACTCAATGTTATGACTGAATATTGCCCCAATTTAGATATTAATTTAACAGAATGAGAGGTGTACAAATCTGCAGCTCCAGATCTTGGCCATTTTCAATTTCTACATACTTATAAGAAGACAAAATTTGTCTTAAGACATGATTTTAGTGGGGGCGGGGGGCAGATAAGAAGCTGACAAAGTCATTAGCACTGGTTTTGGCCCTGGGATCAAGAAAGGAATGTTGCCTTGACTCGTGGCAGGACGCAGTCCCTGAAGGCAGCTCCCCTCAGGTCACACCTCAGGCCCAGAGAGTGTGGCCTGTCAGGAGTAGTATGCATCCAGATGGGGTGCAGGTTAGGCACTGAGGCACACTGAGAAAGCCTCGAGGCATTTCGTTTTCTACCTTGGTTCAGATGTCACAGACTCTGGCCTTGTCTCACTGGGTCTACCGTCTAGCTCTTACCCTTTGACCATCTCCTTTAGTGTAGGTCAAACTCAGGGCTCCTTATTCTGGATATTTTCACCTGGACAAAGCAGCATTTTAAAAACTGGCATGTGTTTCACATTGAGAAGCCCCCCCCCCCCCCCCCCGCGTGCCTGGGAGGGGCTGGTGGAGGCCACCATATTAGCTTTTCCACATGAATTCTAGTGTGTTGCAGGGATCCAGGGATCCCATTTCTATTGGCCACGATGAGGGGTGAGCATAACAGGTAATCTTTACGCTCAAATTCACTCTCTCTTTACAAGGGAACCCGAGCCAAGCCTTCTGAATCTGGACGTGTGGCATCAGTGTCCGGGGCTGCCCTCGCAGCAGAGGCCTGGTGGGGTGCATCTAGGCCGTGCTGCTGCTGGAGCAGGGCGTGCTCTGCGTGCTGCCAATGCTGTGAGCGGCGCTGCTGTTTTCCGAGGCTGGTGGAGAGGTGGGGACTTGTTGCCTTCCTGCTGTCTCCCCTGCAGTTAATTTTTAAAAAGAGAGAGAGAGGGGGAAAAAGATCTGTTTTATGTACATCACAGCACAGAACATTACCCCTTGCTTTGGCATTTTAGCTGATGCTTTTCACAGCTGTGGGTAGGAAGCAGAAAGCCCAGGTCCATGTCGACTGTTAAGGTTTTTCTGTTTATTATTGTTTTATTTTGAAAGCCATGTGCGTGGAGGAAGGAGAAGGATTTCTCAACCAAGTGACAGGCATTTGTAGTAGCCAAGGCCTGACAGCTGATGATAAGGAACTCCCTGGATTTCAAGATCTACAAGCCCCCTCCTTCTTTTTTGTTACTTTTTATCTACAATAGTTGGGATTGGCATTGAGCTGTATCTCAGGAAGCCTCCCCAAATTTCATTCATTCATTCATTCGTGTGTGTGTGTGTGTGTGTGTGTGTGTGTGAGTTTGCTAAATTGCTAAGTATCCCAGGCTAGGTTCAAACTCATGGTCATCCTCTTTACCTACAGTCTTTGAAGATACCAGCACTATCTGGGCTATGTGCGCTAACTGATAGTGTTCAGAAAATACTATGCATCTTCTCTCAAAGACACCGTAGAGTTTGGAGAGTATCTTGGGTACTTTTCTCATTTCTGAAGCAAAGAACCCAAAGTTAAAGGTGGTTTACTTTGGCTCACAGTTTGTAGCGATCTCAGCTCGGAACTGGCTGGCTCCACAGTGAAGTGGCAAGGCAGAAGGGCCCCACAGAGGAGAAACGCTTAAGGGCAGGCAGAAGGCAGCAAAGGCAGCAAGCAGCAAGCCACACCAGCAGCCCTTTTTCTGTTCCTTATATCCTATTCAGGCTATCCACTCTTACAGCAGGTTGTTCTTACACCCAGGGCAGGCCTTCCCATTGATCACACCTAGAACTATGCCAAACCAATCAGTGGGCTAATTTGGCAATCCTACACCCTTCACCCCAGCACCATACACTTTATTCCAGCATCACACATCCTAGATCCAGCCCCCTCTGAAAAGCCCCATCTGTGACCACATGAAGCTTTGGGTGGACATCCAAACACGCGCCATGAAAGAGGGTGAGCATTTAAGTTGTAATAATAGATGCTTGGCAACTTGGGGGCCTTTTTCTGCTTTGTTTTAGTGCTAAGGCTTGAACCCAGGGCCTTGGGCATAGGCAGCAGGCACTCTGCCAGAAACTACATCCCCAACCCTTGGGGCCTGTTTCCAAAAGGTTTAAAACTGGGCTGGTAGAGTCTGGATATGCCCAGCTACAACCAACAACTTCCATGTGCCAAGCACAGCTGCTTGAGGAACAGGATTAGGAAGGGGCTGCTATGGAAAACAACTTGTGGGAAAGGGGTTTAGCTGTGTGCACATGGCAACTACAGGGGCTGCTAGCAAGTACCCACCCTACGCTAAGTTCACTACTGAACGCATCCTGCGGGAGCATCTCCTAGCATATTAAGCATCCCACTTTTCATTACACACCCCACAGCATTTCAGCTAAACCGATTCTTTGTGCCAAATGTACAGGGCTGTGGAGAGGGAGGAAACCTCAGGTCACACACATGGTTTGCATTTAGCAATCCAAAAGGCCCTGGAGTTAGTTCTCTCCAGCAAAACTATCCTCAGTGCAACCCTCAAAAAATGGTTCTAGGTAGGGAAAAGTGATCAGGGCTCCCAGTGAAAAACTACATTTTCTTTGAAAACTCAGAGCATAAAATTTATAAGCAGTGTCCTCCCTCCAATGCAGGAAACCCCAAAGGACCAGGCTTGTTTATGAACAAGCCTCCTCTTTCCTGTCATGCTGAAATGCACATCTATCAGCCAGAGATAAGCAACCCTCCCTTCTGTTTCATTAAAACAAAACACACAAGCAAAGCCTCTGCCCTCGAGTACAGGAACTTGAGCCTGTTACATTCATTCCTTTTCAGGGGGCCCTTCAAAAGCTTCTGCCAAAAGAGCAGTTCTGCAAAATGTAGAACTGGCTCATGCCCCTGGGTCTGGTTACAGCTTTCTCCGTCACCCTTTTTATGAAACCACACAGCTCCACACATTTTTACATCAACCTTACAGCATTTATATGCCTGTTGTACATTGGCCCATGTGTTTCCTTCAATTGTCTTTTCTCCTACGATTGGTGAGATGGAGAGGGAAAGAGATCCATGTTCCAAAGAAGTAGGCAAACTCCGTATTTGTATGCTTCTCTTTGGAAACCTGTATTTTGGGTTTTCCCCGGCATCATGCCCTTCTCTTCATGTACATGTAATTAAGCATGAGACATTTGCCACAATGGCAGTAACTTTCTGCTGAAAATTTACTTTCCCCAGAGTGGGAGTTTATTTCTAAAGGGGATCAAATATCTCTTGAAGTGCTGAGGATCAAACCCAGGCCCTTACACATACTCTGTTACTGACAGATACATCCAAACCCCAATTTTGATGTACACACACACACACACACACACACACGTACATCAAACACCTTAACAACTCTTAATTCATATATTAAAAATGTATCGCCTTTCCAACTCACATTTTGATCCACATTCAGCTGAACCCTCGTGTTATCTACAAAAAGGATTAATATGGCCAGACACGAACCACATTTTAAAAATCTCTCTTCCCACCAAAATAAAGGATTCATGAGAAAAAAACAAAAGTAAGCCAACCCCTTCCCATTTGGTTTGGCCAGAACTCACTTGCTAAGCCTGACGGCACTTACAGGTGGAAGGCTCAATACCTCTAGTGGCAGGGAGCAATTCACTCTCCAGAACACGGTATGTCCTAGGGTCACACCCAGGAAACATGCCAGAGCCATGCCCTTCCCAGGAAGTCTGAATATTTGCCAATGTCTACTTGCCAAATATAATTTGTTGCCACATTAGTTTATTGAGCACACATTAAAAAGAGATCTTTCAACTTTCAGAGTTTTGGAAACCCTGGTGATGGTAATGCAATGCACTACTCCAAGTAAACCCCTAAAACACAAACAAAAAAAGAAAAACAAGGAAAAAATGAAAACAAAATTTTTGTAAATAAGGAGGAGAATGGGTTAAAGGGAAGATAAAGGAATGGAAAGAGAAAAAAAGAATCCAGTTATATCATGTATAGGTACAAATTCCCTATGATGAATGTGATAATTATCTATACCTAAAATGTACCTATAATTTTTTCAGAAGTAAACCTCCAAATAAGACATCCCAAGAACCCCTATAGTCAACACTGCAGGAGACTGGGCATGGGGGTGCGTGCCTGTAATCCCAGCACTTGGGAGGCTGAAAACAGGAGAATCACTATAAGTCCGACCTACGCAGTAAGACCCTGGACCCTGTAGACCCTGCCCTAAATATAAACAAAAACAAAAACAAAAAAACAAACCACTACAGGATATTTCCTGCAGGTGGACAAGCCACAGTAGCCTAATATTCTGTATTCTTCGATCCAATAATATTAAGGATGGTCCGTCTGGAAATGTTGACATGCCCTTCAGTATAGAGGATCCCTTCTACCTCTCTGGCTATTGTCACACGTAAAACACAAAATTTCTCAATATTTCCAAGTTTAAAAAATATACTTCTACTTCTACTTTTTTTTTTTTTTTTTTTTGGGGGGGGGTGGTGGAACTGGAGATTGAACTTAGGCCCTTGCGCTCGCCAGGGAAGCGCTTATTCTACTGAGCCATCTCCCCGGCCCAATACTTTTACTTTTTGGCCAAATTAAGAACAGGACTTTTCACTGTCTGAGGGAAGCACTACTGCAATGCTCGTCATGAAGGACTATATTTAATGGGCTCCTGCTTCTGCGTCCAGAGCCACAGAGTCCCTGGGGTTTCTGAAATGGTGCCTTCGGCTTCCCAATCTGCATCACACTGGCATGGGCGGCGTGGAGCACCCCCTCTCTGAAATGCCCATTGGGTGAAGAGCCAGGCTGCTTCTGGAAGAGGCAAATGGGCAGGACTTGTGACTAAACCGAGCAGACTCAGTGAACAAATGGAAAAAGTTCAAGGGAGGCTCCTTCCTGACAAATATCTCACTTGGCCCTCAGAGACATGTGCTCAGCCTCACTTTGCTCCTCAAATCTCAGGCCACAATGGGGAGGAAGGAGAGCGAGTAGGGAACAGCGTCTGCACTGGAGTGCTCGGAGAGGAGGGAGTGCTCAGGTGACAGCACCAAGGTTTAACCCACCCACCTCACGGAGCCTGGGGCCGAGCCCGGATGGTGCCAGGGATGTTTTAAGAACCAGAAAAATGTATTTCTTAATGGAAAATCTGCTTTATTTCTTTAGTCTGGGATAGTGTTGCCCAAATCTGAACTTCTGTTACCTCTTAGTTATCTATTTTAAACTGGGTCTTTGTCTCTAACTCCTTCACTGTGGCAGCTTTAGGCAAGATACTACCTACGCAAAATGAAGTGACATGTGACACGCAAAGGCTCTCTGGGGAAACAACAAGGCAGGGAACAATGACAATACAAAAGCTTAAAAGACAGACCAAAAAAAAAGACAGATGAGAAGAATTTAGACTAATCTGAAGGAAACTGTTTGCAAATACTGCTCATGGGGATTATTACAAAGAGGACTAGACAGCTGTTTTTCTTCTCTCTGGAGGGCAGAACATAAGAAAATGCATTTAAATGGCAGAAACAGAGACATAGGAAGATTAGAAAAGAACTTGCTGGTTATGAGAATTGGTTAGTTACAGAGGGCATTTATGGGATCTCCTTCTTAGGAGATACTTACACACAGGACTGAAAATCATACACCCTGGGGTGATTTTGATTTTACATTCCTTGATGCAAAAAAAAAAAAAAAAAAAAAATGAGTAAGCCTGTGTGTTGATTGCAGTTTTGTATCAATTAACATGGGGTTCTTGATGTCCTAACTCCCACAAGGACAGCAGACAAAGCTGGCTGCAGTTTAGCAACGTCTTCAATCACTTTTTATCATTTCCAATAATTCCTCTGAACCCTCTAAGCTAAAAGAACTTTCTTTTAAAGGCAAAACACTCCAGGA